ATTTAATAATTGATTTTTTAAAAAAATATTAATTAAAATATAAAATTTTAAACAATTCTTAGGACTACGTACATTATAGTAACCTCTTTATACAAATGTTGAATCATAAATTTATATAAAATAATGATACTAAAAAAATTTAACAATAGAAACTCTACCACATAAATTGAGAAATCATTTTACAAGTTGAACTTGAAAGTAGCAAATAATCTTATAGAAATTTGTATTTTTTTTTTTTAACAGGATTACGCTTTTTGGGGGAAGGGGAGGGGGTGGAGATTAGGGAAATAAAATTCATAAAAAAAATTGCAATTTATGAAGGTGATCTAATTGACTCAATATCAATATTATTGAGTTGGAGCGTAAAGATTAATACAAATTTATACGTTAAAAAAATAATTTTTAATAAAAAATTATTATACGAATCCAAATTGTATAATTAAAATAGTCAAATAAAAAGAAAATTTTCTAATTTTAAAGGTCTTTTTTATCCAATAACCTATAAATTCCAATCTCAATTATACAACACAGCAAAACAGGATTCTCAATTTGTAAATAGGTAAAACTTACTTTACCAAGTTCCACCACGTGCAAAGCTACGCCTCATCCACTCATCCGTCTCCCTGACATTAAGGCGCGAAAATATTTTCTCACGTTCTCTCCCCTCCGCCCTGCAACGGAAATCTTTCGCCGTTCCGAACAGACTCAAACCGATCCATCATCCATACCGGAGTAATTCCCATGCTTTCTCAACCCAAACCCTCCCCCTTATTTATTTGCTGTTTTTGCATTTAATCCATAGAAATCACTTCCAAAATCCGTAAAGAACAAAAAAAAAAAAAAAAATTTCAAACTCCTCGATCTCTTTCATCGATCCAATGGCAAGAACTGTGATGGTCACCGCGGCATCATCGCCGTTGCCGTCGCGCGTCGGTAACGTTCCAGCGGATCTTGATCTGAAGGACGTTGATCTTGATGTCGAAATCGAAGGCGTGAATCCTCTGAATCTTGGAATCCAAGGGTTAGGGCTAAAGGTGCATCCATGGATTCACGATGAGGTGCAGAAATGTGAGGAGTTTGAGTCGCCTAAGCGTCAGATTTTAGGATTGGACAATGAAGAAATTACTGTAAAGCATAAGATTGAGGTACTGGAACGAAAAGTGCGAGGTTTAATGTTCGAGAAAGGGGTAAACCAGGGTAAGTTCAAGAAATGTGGGAATGAGAGTGAAATTGAAGAATGTAAGGGTTTGAATGAGAAGGAAATCCAACAAACGGTTTTCAATGTAATCCTTGGAGAAGGGAAAAGTAGCAATGGCTTTGAAGAAACGGAGAAACAAGAAGAATTTGAGGCATTGAAGGATATATCGCATCAAGCCGTGGAGATTGAAGTTGACATTGCTCGATTCCAAGAGAATCCTGTCCAGTTGGTGTCGAAGAAGAAAGAACTCGCTGCCAAACTGAAAAGGCTGAAAGGAATGCTGGATGAGCTTGATTGGAGTGATGCGGAATTTGAAAATGAGATGAAAGAGGGGAGTGCGAGTGATGAATCGTCAACTTGTGATTTGGATGCTGAAGTAGAGGGAAGAGAAGTGAATGTTGAGGAGGTTGGAGAGAGTAGAGTGCATAGATTGCGCAATGAGATTGAGTTGTTGGAGTTGATGTTGTCAAGGGTGACTATTGGCTTGCTTGATTCAGAGATATTGAAGGGAGAAGTGGGGGCTTTAAGGGGGTCTGAGGAGGCAGTTAGGGAGATGAGAGTAAAGATGGTGGAATTTCATGACAGGCTGTGGGAGCTGAAGAGGTCTATTTTGGAGTTGACAAGCAAGAAGACCAAGGAATTGATAGGCTGGATCAAGACAGAAGAGCAGAAGTTGAAGACTGATGGAGAGGAGAGAGTGAAGGGCTCAAAGCTGAATTGGGGTGCAATTGCAACATCTATTGGAGCCATTATTGTAGCTACCGCTGTGGTTTTCATGAGACACGGAAAGGAGAAAGCAAAAGTAGAGAGGGGAAACAAGAACTGAACTGGTTATAATTTCTTTCCCCAGCGCATTTTGTTTATCACTTTAGGCACTACAGTAGTTCTGAATACAGATGTAAAGCTCCTGCCTTGTCTTAGAGTGAATTAGGTTCTATATCCAAGTGTCCGTATGAACTGGACAAGTCTGAATTCTCAATTGCTATGGTATCTGATCCTTGTATTTTGAAAATTTAGTGATGGAAGAAGCAATGCTGGTTTTGTAATTTAGTCTACTATGTTCTAGGACGCAAGCATTTTTTAATGCTGTATTGTCAGGTTCATAGTATATTTTTCAGAAGCATCTTTTTAAGAATTTCTCTGCAATTTGAAGGCTTGTTCATTGCTTGCCCTAAAAATATCATGGTGTAGTTCTGGAGGAACATCAATAATTAGTTAAAAAAAAATCACCTAAGTTATTAATGTCATCTACTGGATTTTAATTGAAGCCAATGAGTTACAAACCCACTTGAAAATGTATTGAAAATAAGTTTTTAGTTATTATACCCTTGGGTGAAGTCCTACGGAAAAAAGTTGGTATGATCCTGGAGCATGAGCATTCGTGGAATTATGCCCTTAATCAAACTTGAAGTGGTTGTATTCAGATGGATGTTGTCTATATATCCAGCAAAGACTGGATATAATGATAGATGTGGCTTCTGCTCTAGAATCTCTCCACCATAGACATCCAGTACCGGTCATCCACAATGATTTGAAGCCTAAAATTGTATCGCTTGATAAAGATATGGTTGCACAAGTGGGGAATTTTGGCCTTGCCAAGCTTCTGGGAGAAAGGTGCATGTGTGATACAGACCATGAGGGTTGCCACCACTATAGGGTACATGGGACCAGGTGATATTTCAATATTTGTTTATTTATTTATTCATTCTTTTAAATTATCTTGAATCAGTTAACATACATGAAAATGGAATTAAATTTACATCTCCAATATGCAATTAAGAAATATTGAACACATTATTATTGGATAGCATCTACAATTTGGATGCAGAGTATGGATCGCTAGGACTAGTTTCTGCCAAAGGTGACATTTATAGTTATGGGATTTTGCTAATGGAGACATTCATAAGATAAGAACATACTAATCATTTGTTTGGTGGAGAAATGAGCTTCAAGGTGTGGGTTAAAGATTCATTCTCATTCAGGAATTGAAGTAATTGATGCCACTTTGGCAAAGCAGGAGGAGGAATATTTCATTGCCAAAGCAACTTGCAAATCTTCTATTCTAGAATTGGCTTTGGAATGTGTTGTTCCTCGAACATTTTTTTTCATCTCCACATTATGTTATTATTGTGCCTCGATCACAAATCAAATAAAATTATAATTAGTGAACTTATCAAAAAAATATCAATAAGAAATTATATTCAAAATAGGCACGAAAAGCTTACTTTAAAGCAATTCACATCTTCGTAGTGTGTAAATTGACTAGTGCAGTAGAGATACATATAGCATATTGCCTCCATGATACTAGAGTTTTATAATTATACTCTATGAATCTGCATTACTCATAGAGTCACTTAACTCATAACGTCCTTCTTTACCCAAAAATATTTTAAAGATAAAATAAGGTAAGAAAGTAAAAGAATGTAGAGGAAATTCCTTTTTTTTTAGCAAAAAAACATGTCCTATTTATAGGATTCATGGTCATGTAACTCTTATTTATAAGATAATAATAGGAATAAATTGGATAATTATTATAAAATAATGTGCTCTTAAATAGAACAATTAACCTATAACAGCTAGTTTCACCAAGTCCTTAAGGACAATAGATTCAATTTATAAAATATATTATTTTATTTTTTATTAAAATATTTAAGTTTTAACAATTTCTCCACTATTTTAATAAAAAATAAACTTTTCTTTTGGGCAAAGATGGATTATTATGCATAATAAAGGTAATTAAGTTTTAAACATTTACTTAGTGAGTCAACAATTCTTAATCCAAGGTCAATAGTAAATTAAGTCTTGAACTATGATCCCCTTGGAAGATACAAGAATAGTATCACATACATAATGATCTGAATGTTGAGTTTTTCACATAACTAATGCATTATGGCCTTGCGCATTATCTCGGTTTTCATGAGTGATCTAGAAAATTGCCCATTCAATTTTCATAAGAGTGGCCGCATTTTGATACCCACATAGGTGAAATTTGTCAAGAGTGCTCTCATAACTAAGACACCCCACTCAATGAACTACAAATTTCATTAAAAGTATATAATTCAACCCTCAATTCGTTATAAGATAGATGCTTCCTCACCTTAGGAATGGGATTGAAAATTTTTTTCCGTTAAATATTGATGCATCTTTCAACAATGACTTCTCTATGATTCGTTTATCCCATTCAAAACCCAATTCTCGGAATTCGGATAAGATATCCTCATACGAAATTCTACATTATTGGACTTGAATCCTATTCTCCTCGATGAGCACTAGACCTTGAATTATGATCATAGTTTTTTCTCCAACATTTCTCTTTGCCAAAGGCCTAGTTGGTGGTATAATGGGTAATGAAAAGAATTAACTCATTCTTTTTCGCACTTTTTCACATCAACCCACATGTCTACTAGCTCATAAAATTCATATTTATTTTTCTCAAATTCTCAATTCATTGTACCACAATTTTGATATCAAATCAAGCTAGTGAACCACCATTTTCTTTCCACACATATAGACATTTTTAAGAATTTTTAACTCAAACACCATTGTACCTTGTTGTAGAATAGGAATGTTCATCATAGCATATCCCTTCTAGTCAAGTAAAGTGCCTTTTTCTTTTTCATTATACACCATTATACCATAATTATTATACCATAATTATATAATAGGAATGCATATCACATTCACTTTGTTAAGCATCATTATACATTATTGTATAATAAGAATGCTATACAAAGTCTCAATTAGGCACCATTACTCTCATCACTAAAACTAAAATACAAGGGTATCACAATCCCCACATTGGGAGCATCTCAAATATGTGATTATCACATTTTTCAAATAATTGAATTCATGAAAAAAACTCATTTACTCACAAAATTTCATAAGAACATATTAACTCGTCTCACATTTTATTGTCATAAATAACTCATCAGTCATGCAAACTTAAAAAATTTAACTTATGTTTCCAAAATATATCAACCCAAATTTCAAATCCATTTTTTCAAAATTATTGCATAGACCAAATTGGCTAGCTCTTTCCTCTAGCCTTTTCCAATTTTCAATTTGATTCTCAAAGTTTTCACATGTTTCATAAAAAACTTAATAATATGGTGAATTAAATTCACAAATTTATTCATAAATTTTTTCCTTCATAGCAATTGGAAATAAATCAAATACTTACCATATGCATTAAAAGCAAACGGCTAGCTTATTAAACTTATAAACATAGCCAAGTGATCATTTGACAATTATAGCACTATTGGTAACAGCTACCATTAACCTATTAATTAAGTAGTACAAATGTAATATATACTTAATAGCGATGGCTAATAACATAAGGTGCTAATTTTTCACAAGAATTAAGTATGGTTTAGGCAAGCTATGTAGTGATCGGGTATGCACTGATTTTTTTTGCATTGATTTTTTTTTTTTTACTGTCCACATGCCGTAAATACTAAAGCAAAAATAAATAGCCTACCATTAAAGCATAGCCCAATAATTAGATTAGGATCCCAGACCTCATACCTGTTTTGAGGCACCTAAAACAAATAATATTTTGGTTACACAATGTGACATATGTTTTAATTTTGTTTTGCATATTAAATCGCTTTAAAATTGTTGTTCCTCGAACATTCTTCTCCCTCTTCACATTATGTCATTGTTGTGTCTTGGTCGCAAATCAAATAAAATGATAATGCGTGAATTTGTCAAAAAATATCAATAAGAAATTATATTCAAAATAAACAT